GTGCCTGTTGCTTGCTGAGATAGGCTCCAACTCTCCCACAATCCCTGTACTGGATAAAGCAATCAAAAATGCATGGATGGAAGTGTCTCTTTCTGGATTTGTTTCCCCCTCTGGTTCTGGTAGTGGCTGAATATCCAGGGCAGGCCCACCAGGTAAGGCTCTCCACAATGTTTAACAGTACATGACAGTCCCCTCCACAACATTGTTTCCTTGAAATGTGCAGAAGAACTACTCGCCTACACTACCAAGATCACAACCTCACTGGTCCCCTGTACACTGGCTGCTGCAGTTACTTTCTTGCCAGTCTGAGTCTCACAGAAAAGGTGGACTTACTAGCCCAGTGACTCTTGAAAGATGGAGCTACCTGCCCACTCCTCCACAGGAAGTGGGCATGCCCGGCTACTACCACTTGCTCTGCCCCTTCTGCCTCTGACTGTTGATCACCTACAGGATGTAATGCCTGAGAAGGATCCGAGCCCTGTACCATAAAACTCTTTTTAGCAAAATACCACAGCTTTCGATTGCCCAATTTGTATTTGATATTCCTTTTCCTTAAATATTCAGTGGCGGGCCTGTGATAGTTTTGTACATTTGTTTGTCACTCCACATGTCTGGTTCAGAAAGTCTCATGGAAAAATCGTCATGAAAGGGACTGTAAATACATGAAAAAAGGAGCTTCCTGGAACATTCGAGTAACTTGGTAGGCATGCAGAATGGTAAGTTACAGATGATAGACCTCTTTTAAATGCATTCCTTACAGCTCCTACTGTTTGAAATTTAAAACTCCATTTCCTGTCTCGTCTCCAAAGAAGGAAGAAGATGACTTTTGCAGTGAGGCATGCAGCAGCCTTACAGGAAAAATGCAGGAAATTAACCAGATTAAAAGTCTTTTTTTGTTACCAAAGTCAGTTTCTAGAGCATTCCACCACACGTTAGTCACATTATCCATTATAGCTATAACCTAATTAGAGTACCTATCCCTTCATTTCAGCCAATAACCTAATTTATTTCAGTAGCCTCATGAACAAATGACTGAACAGCAGACAAACTAAAACAATGCATCTTGTTTAATGGTTTAATCCTTGATTAAAACAGGATTATTTGGGAGATTTGGTCTGAATTCATACTGTAGTTGTGTTGGAAGTGTATTAACTTAATTTACTTCCTCTTGATTCATTTACATATTTGTATATATATTAAATTCTCTCAAGAAAATGCATGTGCAATATGGGCACTGTGGTCTACTTGGAAAGTTTTATTCTAGCAATGAAAATATTCAGGAAGTGATAATAAGATTAAGTATTTACACAAAATACTGAAAGATAAATTAAACATCTCAATTTATTTTGTCACTGCAGTTTTACAACTATGAATTATACCCTACAGTATTTACTGGATTTAGGATGTGATTTTTTTACCTCTTTTTTTTTCTAATCCTGCTGCTTGCTTACCTGAATAGCAGTATAACCGGGCAGTCTCATGTTCCATGGCAGAAGGTTGTTTTCCCGCTGATCTGCATTACTTAGTTTGTTGTTAAAGTAGTTGAAAAGTGCCGTGTTCTTTGAGTCTAGCCAATGGGATTCGTTGCAGTGACAAATGTAATAAAAATGGTGAGATTCCGGCAAGTACCAAAATGTGATTAAATGAAATAAAAATGCATTTGGTTACTTTTCTGGAAAACCATAATCCCTTCTGCTGAATCAATTGGAAGTAATCTGACCAATTATGGAGCAAATAGGAAATATTGCCATTGCCTAGGAATCTTATAATTAACTGAGGCAATCGTAATGCAGTGCAAGTTATTTTTCCTTCAGAGACCAACATTTAAACGTTTACTGGAAGTTGCATTAGTAAACTTACTAGGTGTGGCCATTGCATTTTGGAATGGAAACCAGGTGTAGTGTTTCTTTGTCAGTCAGCTCCTTTCATTAGCATTAGCAAAATTGTCCCAGCAGGGAATTCCTAGATCAAAGCATCCATAAATTGTTCAGTCCCTCATTAGACTTGTGCCAAGCCCTACACAAATGGTGTGATTTAATCTGGGTTATAAATATCCCGATGTGTGCAGACAGTTGTAATTCTCTGTAGTCATTGTGGAAAAAGTACCATATCAGCACTTTTTTTTGGAAAGCACATTGGAAGTACTTGCACTCAGGAGGTGTAACATGAGTGACTGTATACAAGTAAAAGCAGGTCTTAATTTTTCAATGAAGTGAACCGCAAGTCGTGCAAGAGGGTAGTTACCAGCATGCTTAAACAAATAAGACCAAATGGAAATGAACAGAGTTTTTTTTTTTTAATACTGTAAACTACGCATGTTTAACTGTTTAAACATGTTTAACTGTTTAAAAAGAATGTGGTGATCTTTGAGAGTTTTAATGAGTTGACTGGTATGTTATGAAACCAGATGTCAACCAGATTCTCTGGTTCAACACAGGCTGTATAACTGTTCACAATTTTATGATGGATCAAGTGACGGGCACCGTAATCAAATAGTGCTAAACAATTATGCAAGTTGAAAATTAAATCACCTCTGTTTTTCTAATAAAATAAATATGCATTCTTTTTAATAGCGATAACTCTTATACTGTAGATGGAATGCACCACTCTTAAGAACGTGTTTTATTTTACTTGTTTTATAGATCGATCACCAGCTACAGACCAAATTCTTTTTGCCTAATGTTACATTGATAACATACCACATACCTGTTTACATTTACAGTGAGAAATTGAGACGAGAGCGAGATAAGCTAAATTTTCTTTATAAACAACACTACTTTAAACAGGCTGAACAAAGCTAATGTCCATGTCAGAAAAATGATAAAATGGGTGAGGAAGTGAAAAAAATTGTACATTGGTCAGAAATTCTTAAGCCAAGTAAATAATATATTCCTGAAATCCTGAAATTGTTAGGCTTACTGCATATTTTTCATTTTGTTTTTCTTACAGAAAACAAATGCAGGCTTAAAGCATAATATGCACCAGTGATTCCCAACCCTACTCATGAAGCCCAGTACCATGGGGATACTGGTTTTTGTTCTAACTAGACCCTTAGTTGCCATTAACAGATATGCTTGCTTGTTTAGATTTTATTCTACAGTCCTGGGTTTCAAAAATCACCTGCCAAAAACCCTTACACAGAACGTAATGCAATCTTTCCTGAACTTATTAATTTCTAAATAAATGTTTTTTTTTTAATGGCCCCTTTGTTAATGAACATAGATTCAAATCACATTGTTGGACAACTCCCACAGTGAATTCAACTTAACTTTTAAGTCCATTGCTTTTCACCTTAAAGGAATGAGAGCAGTCATCCATCCATGTCCCCTCTGAGCATTGGTGTCAAGCTCCCTTTCTTAATCCTAGTGTAAGCTTGGTTTTTCTGCCATCCTGAGTAATCAAACAGTTAACCTAATTATCTTACAGTATATACAGGGTGTTACTTACAGCTTATTACTCAAAACACCTTTCATTAAAGCTACTGTTACTTTATAAACCACCTCAGTGCCAATGGAGAAGTACTAATTATGCAATTAGACCTACTATGTACATGTAACAGAGATCAAGCTGGAACGAAGAGCAAAGGACATTATGCCCTCCAGCAACCAAGTTTTAACATCACTTTTTAAAGCAATGGGCTGAACTCAATCATTGTCACTAGAAAATGTTTCAAACAATACCTGTAGAATTCTTAGCAAGATGTGTGAAGGAAATGGGATTCAGAAATCTTTTAAACCTTGTGCTGCACCTACTCTATAACGTTACCTTGGGAAGCTCAATGTGTGTTTGGAAAGAAATGGTAACCAATCTGTGACTAATGACTCTTCCTATATCTATACTTTACTTCACTCTATGTAACTCACGAAGGCTGTATCAGAAATTTTCTTGGAGACTAGTATTTTAGGTTAATTCCTTAAGAACTGCAGCTCTGAGTTGAATATAATCTTAAACACAGAACAAGTGTTGTGCAGAGACCTCTTGTGGTGGTAGAAAATGTAACCTTAAACAGAATCTACTGTACTGCATTGTACTTCAATAAAAGTAATGTTTTAGAAGGCCTATTTAAAACTAGCAAAGATATACAGTATACACTAAATATTCATTTCAATCAGCAGTGAGCTATTTATTCTTGATAAGGGTTGCAGCAAATCTGGGCATATCTCAGAAGGGGTTACATCCTGAATATACAGTACTGTAGAGCAGAATGACACTTAAGGAGCAGGGGAGATCATATGGACTCAACACACAAAATGGACCCGGTGAACTGCAAGGTAGCAACACAGTACCATGCCACCTTGATAAATAATTAATAAATTAATAAACTGCATTTATCATTTCTAAGCTTATTGAAAACTGATTTGGTCCAGCGAAGGCTAATGCTTGTGTGCTACTGCAGCCACTGAGGGATCTGTAGTCATTTACCCTCCCTGTCTGAGCTTGGTGAATTTTCATCCAACCTTTCCTGCAGTACTTCTCCACTAGACATATCTTAACATTCAATCAACTTAAGAAATATTACTGTTTAAACACTGAAACAGAATAAATCTCCCAAATTGAAGACACCACTAATTCTGAAAACTGGCTCTAGTGTACATATGCTCTTTCAGGACCACCTGTATTGTAATAATGGATAATGATAGATAATCATTCCACTCACACCAAGGGCCAGTTTTCCCAAGAAGCCATTGGCCCTACAGTACCAATATCCTGTATGTAGGAGGAAACCCATGTGAACACAGGGAGAACATACAAATTCCACACAGATAGCACTATGTCTAGAACTGAACCCAGGAACCTGGCACTCTGAGACAGCCATGTTAAACACTGTCTCACCATGCCACCCTTATGCAGAAATATTACAAAAGGACAATTAAGAGTTTCTGGATACATTTTATGGTAGTACTGTATGTTTCTTTATGTGACCTCCCCCCCTTCAGAATGTGTGTGATATATTGATGTTTTTAAGAACTTCTACAGAAGAAAAAAAAAGTCACTCCAGGTTACTACTGGTTTTCTTTTTATTTGGCTTATTAAACAGTACAGCCAGTTCCTTCCCACCACAGAAATGTGACTTGGATTCAAAAACCGCAAAAAGTCCAGAGCTCAGCGTGCATTGGGAGGCAGGATTTCAGTATAATCTGAAATAAGACACTGTCATGAAACAGCCACTGACTGAACAAACAAAGACTAAAAGCAATAAATTGACTTTTGGTTAAACAGGGAAATTCAGCTCAGAGTCCTCAAAGGCTGGAAGACCTTCCCAGTCAAATGGAATTCATAATCAGCAATAGCTTAGTTAGACGTTTTGGTTTAAATTAAATTGTATGATTCATGCAATATTAAAAAATAGCCCTCTTTCATTTTCAGGATTAATTTGCTTCTGGGTTTCATGTTTTATGTCCTAAGACTATGCATTTTAAAATATTGCTACAGTTTGAGATTGATAAAATGGTTTGGTGTTGCTACAGTAAAAGTAGGACTACAAAGTTTGAATACAAGACCAATCATATTATACTGTATATTGGTATCATTCCAGACAGCCTAAGGTTCTGTAGACCTTTTCTATACTGTAAGCAGAATTCAAATGTTTTAAATGTGATATTTGACTACGATGACAACAAATTTGTCAAGCACAGTATATACATATTTTGCCAAACAGATACAAATATAAACATTTGTATCTGTTTGGCAAAATCTGAAGAGGTCCCCAATAAACTAAAACAGCATGACCTCTGATTAAATAAATAAATGTAGGAAACACAAAGACCATGAAGTTAATTGTAGAAATGGAGTCCTACACATCTGTCAAAGATAAACTAATTGTTGTATTCCAGAGTCTAAGCAAGGTCACATAATACTTATTCTATGGCATGACAGACGAACATTTTCTTACTCTAAGATATACAGATAAACATTTTTAATGCCAATACTAAATGTTATCTTGGTATCTTATAGCTCCAGGCAAATTGTACTACGAGAATCCTGAGGTCTCAAATAGCACTGGTTTCTACACATGACCATAACAGCTAAATTGGAATTGGTACTACAGCCTAGCAGGGACGTTCACAGCTACAAGAAATAACTGGATTAAAACAGGACATTCAGTGCAAAAGAAATGCCATTTTGCCACTCATCCTGTGGAACTGTCTCCTTCATTTGTATATGACATTCTGAGTAAAATGTGTGATTGGAAAAACAAAACCTGAATAGGACCACTGGGACTCGACCAAAGCACAACTGTGGACTTCGATGACAAATTAATTCCAAACCTACTCTCATTCAGCTGCCATCCAAAATCAGTCTTTTACAACACGTGGACCTAACTTGTCATTTTGTTTGAACATTATACAAATACATACCATTACAGGCTCAAGCAACAGCCTGTAAAAAGGTTTCACAGGTTACTTTTTGAAGTTATCTTCATTCCTAGTTTTAAAGAGCTACAGTATGTCTCCGTCTTACATTCACTGGTTAATGATGTGTAATGGTTCTAGTGAGGTGTTTTTGGCGATTGTTCTAGACTGGTAATAGTCTGGGTAGAATGAAAACAAAACCAAAAAAAACATGGCTGTTTCAAGACCAGAAGTGAAGAATCACTCATTTAGACATTAGATACCCAGTATGTAAATGTAGGATAAATGTAATAATAATTTGAATTTAAATAAATTTGAATAGATTAATACTATACTTGCATGTAAGTTTCCAGGTTGGCAATGAAATGCAAACATTCTGGTACAGCATCTGCTTTCTTTGTGTGGCTTTAAAGTAACTTCAAACAGAAGATAATTAGCAGGAGATGCTTCTGCCACCCCAGCAGTACACCCACAGCTTTATTTTGCTCAGTAATCAAATTGATTTGCCTGCAAGTTTAGTATTGGCAGAACCCAGACATCCTGTATACCTAATAAAGCCTTCATTAAGACAGACATTTAACATTGTGCACCAAGTGGCTATTAGATTAAGTGTGGCACAAAGATCAATGCTACACACAAGATGAGAAACACAATTCAACACTGGGAAACCCATAAGAAGATACTGTACTACATATAATTAACCAAATTACTTAGGGGGCTCAGATTCTGTTACAACTACTTACAGTATGCCTCCTTTCCACTGGTAAATGCTGTATAAAATCCAATGTCTAATACAAAGTCCAGAAAATTCAAGAAAAATGCATTAACATTAAGAAATTGATTTGTTATAACCCAGCATAAAATATGTTGACTGGAAGACTAGGGCTAGATTTTTATTTTCAGTTGGAACTTTATTTTCCTTTACTACATCCATGTGCCTTGAAGCAACAAACTAAATTTAAAACAGCTCTTGGCATATATTCCAAGATCTCATCTATAGATCATGCACTACAAACAATATAAATAGAATAAATCGGTCCATTTACATTGCATTTATTATAAACAAAGCATGTACAATACATTTTAACATTACAGATAATACTGAAATTAAATGTTTAAATCTCTAAGTTGAATTAACACTGTAGTGTCAAAAAGCTTTGTAAGAAAATTTAACCTTCATTCTTGTAGAATTGCCACATACTACCAATTCTGACACAATTGCTGCAGAAAAGTGATCAGTAAAAATAATAAAAGGTGACATCCATTCATTTTCAATATCCACTTAGTCACTACAGCATGTCAGTGAACCTACTGTACTGTATCCCAGAAGACAATGGGTGCAATGTAGGTTCTACCCTGAACAGGGTGCCAATCGTTTGCAGGGAAACGATAAAATTAAGTAAAACATGTTATAAGGGGTTAGCAATAGCCTTAATCAAAATTAACCCATTTATTCAAACTCCATTCTTCTGTATTAAGTGATTTAAGTTACATTGTAAAGAGATATTAAGAATATGGCCACTTCCAAAGATCACAGCCATTGATTGTCCAATAATATTATTTTTTAAAACAGCTTAAACATAAATATTTAAAACGTTTGCAGTCTACATCAGGGGTCTCATAATCTTACAACCAGTAGAGAATGGTGAGATTGAGAAAATTAAATTAAATTGGATCAATTTAATCCCTATTCCACAGGCGTTAAACTAGTTGAGAGAGAAAAACACTATCAACTGGATTATAACCACTGAAGACTGGACCCCATGGACCACTTGAGTTCTATTAAAACACAACAGGATTGTAGACTACAGATCTGAATAAGGACAGTGTTTGGCTGAAGTACAGCGAAATTTTTTATCAATGCTGTGCATGCACATTCAAGCTCAGGTGTACCTTAACCTGACCACTTGAAATGAGGCACTAACCTCAGTTCAAGTCAGATGGTGGCGGAAAGCATTATCAATGATTTCTCTTTTAAAAAACAATCCAACGTAAAAAATAAAAACCCTGTTTATTAGTTTCTGTGAGCCTTCTACAAATATCTGAATTTGTAACTCCATGGACAAAATACTAACTTCCTTCATCAGTCTGAACTTTTTTTTTTTAAGCCAAAAGCTTTAATTTCTCTCAAAGTATTGTAACAAGCCTAACTTTTGAAAAACGCTGTATATACAATATTAACCATCTAATGGCACTCAAATATTATTAGTAGGGGAGACAGGTTAAAAAGCTACAGTAAACCAGCTCACCCAACCTTATCAAAAGATTAATGCACATCATGCACATTGTCCATGATTGAGCAAATGGAGGGAAAAAAATAAGTCCTTACTTTCTACAGAAATAATTTAATCCAAGTCGTGTGATCGTTCCAATCTTATTAAAGCTTGGAACGGTTTATTGTATGGCTGAATAGGGGAAAGTTAGCTGTGCTTCACAAAATCTGGCGCAGCCATTCCAGTGTGTAGTGCCAGAGAGCCAGGTTTCTCCAGGGCCAGTGCTGGATGGCAGGCCTCCGTGAATCTGTGCTGGCAAGAGTAGAGCACCTGTCCACTTTGAGCGTTGAAGAACACCAGCCGCCCATTAATGTAATCCAACAGTGTTCCGATCCTAGTTGGTTTGTCAACAACATGAATTTCAGCTTGCACACTCTTGTGTAGGAACTCAACTCTGTAACTGCAATTAAAGGGGAAAAAAAAGCAAATAAATCTTCACTTTCTGATCTTTTTTTCTTTTTTAAGGTACAGACTTTAATAAATGAAGAGCTATAAAATGTACTGCTACAGAATTATACTAAAAATAATTAAGTGTTCTTTTCCTACATGTTTGTTTTGAGAAAGGTAACAGGAAAAAAAAGTGGTCAGAAAGAAATTTGGCATCAAAACGTCAAGCACAAAAAAACTCTTAGGTTACTTGCTAACATGGAAAATCAGAGTAGATCAGATGTTACTAGCCAGTCTGAAAATAGTTAGAAAAGGATTGGTAATCTACTCTTAGATGTCAGCATTGCATCTCAAAGGAGCACAGAGTTGTTCACATGCCAATGACTTGAGGATATTCTCAATTTTTTACTGGTTGCTTCAGGGCTTAGAAGCACTGAGTTTAAAATTAACGACATTTAGCAGTGATGATTATGAGCACAGTGAAAAAAACAGTACCTTGATGGTGTGCGGTAACAATGAATGCCCCATGATGTACTGTTCTGCCCCAGTGGGCTGTCATGAGGTGTAGATGAATAAGCCACACCAATTCTATAAGCCTCACTGCTGGCCACTGTTGTCTCCCAGTAATGATATCCATGAGGGGGCAACAGCTCACCCCAGATATCCAGGCAGCTGGAAAGGGGCACAAGGGCACAAAGAGGTCAAACATAACTGCTTCATAGCTACATCAATTTATGAACATCGGGCACATTAAGGACAAAACTCAAGTGTTCTTAGATTCACTTGATCTATTGTAGATACATACTAACTTACAGTACGTTAGTTGTTGGTTTGTTAGGAGGAACACAACAGTTACTCACTCATTGAGTGTGGCTCTTTGTCTGAAAGTTTGCTCGTGGTAGTAAATGGTAGTCTTGTCCTCAGAAAGCACAAGGGCTGAGTTGGCTGTTTCTTTTAGCAGGCAAAATCTGGTTCCTGTCAATCAAGATTTATAAAAAAAATGTAATGTGTAACAATTCTATCCATACAGAATGACTCCTTATTTTGTTTGTTGAAAAGACAGTAATCTGCCCACAAACCATCAATTGTCTTCTATGTATAGCAAAATGTATCTGACACCAATTAAAATAAAGGTAGCTGGTTACATTAGGCCATAGATTAATAGGTTCTTACCTTTTGTGGAAATGAGAGCTGCTTCACTTTGCTCGCTGGCCCCTGCAGAGTTTACAGCTTTGATGTAGAAGAGGTAATTCTCATTTGGATGTAGGAGAACCTTGTGTTCACAATTCCTTATGCCAGATATAGACCTACACAAACAAAATACAACTTAACTTTAAGTAACCTGATGACACTTAAAAAATAATCTGACAAATATTGTTAATGCTGAAACATCCCACTGTGAATCTAAGAAAAAACAAAGATTTAATGACATTTAAATGTACTGAATACTGACACATATTTGGAAGTGAACTCCATAAGCAATAGACAAAATACTTTAAATACCATGGTATAAGGATAATCAACTAAACAAATGCTACCTATAAAATACTAGCAATATACTGTATAACACAAGAAAACTACACCCAAAGCCAAGAACAGCAAGAACAGCAATTTACCTAATAGTTTACAGAGTATATGGATAAGAACTCGACAAACATTTTTAAAAGCACAGAAAATATCTTTATACAATCGCTGTACTTGGACAGTTTAAAATGCAATTTCAAACTTGAATAGATTTAAGAGGAAATGTATGTTTTAAATTGTATTGAGAACATAAAAATT